AATCATAGCATATCTAAGACATTACATTACATTATTTATATAAATATATTCTCAATTCGACAAAAGTTAATCAATTTTCAACCTATAGTTTTTTTTACTTTAGCCAAAATCGACATTTTACCTTTCGTTTATACAACGCATTAGAACTTTTGCGTTTTGGTCATCATTTTCTTCGCCCTTTCTTTGCTTAGTAGGATGCTTAGTACTAAACTCTTACCCTAATAAGTTATTTACATAAACTTGTTGTATACATGTAAGATTCTTTCCTGCTCGATGTTGCTTCGATATTCCAAGTATCATCGCGATAGAGTGTAAATATCCGAAGATATCATTCCTTTTTTTCATTTGCTGTACCCACAATCCTTCTTATGTTGACTAACACTATTACATTGTTTATGATATCAGGAAAAAACATTTGTCTATGATTTTTGATCGATGTAGTGCGATATATAGCATATTCTTACGTTGTTCCACTTTCTTTAATATATATAGCAAAGCACTGGCGACGCCAAATATTAAGTTTAAAGGCTCATCTAACTTGCGTCCGCAATCAAGTATACGTTTACCGCTCCGCTCGATCGTTTGCTTTGCAGGAATCGACAAACGCTGGCAGATATGTTTAATTCGGAATCTGCCCAAAAAGGGAAAGATATAGGCTCGATGGTAGGCGACATGTCTCACGCCTTGCATTGCGCTAATCAGAATGCTCCATTCTGAGTCCAAGATTTCTTAGCTGGTTTTCAAATTTAACTTGCCTAACGGATGCAAGTGAGTGTTGCCTTTTAGCGTTTGCTGGTCAAACAGCTCTATTTTCTCAAATTTCGTTTATATGACAATAAAGAAAAGCTTTCTTTATTTAAAATTACATTACGCTAATCAATTGTATTTTCAACATTTCATTATGTATATGATTACTTCTTTATTCCGGAACATAGTAGCCACAGTCTTCTTGGTCCACGTACTTTTTAGTGGAAGCTAATCAGGGAACAGCCACTCGAAAGTTGAATATTCGGTCTGCAGTTATTCGCAGTAGACAAAAGCCTCATTGACTATTAAACGACTGCCCAATAAGTAAGGAAACCTCACCTTGGAGAAGTCATCGACATTGTCAGAAGTCGTCTGCCTACAGGCATCTCTGTTAAGAATTCAGCTATAATTGAGGTCCAAAATTTAATTAACGTGCTTCTGTGTTATTGAAGGATCAGAGAAGTTCATAGTGTAAACTGGTGCCTCGTGTATGCTGAATTGAATCTAGTCCTTGTACGTTACAAATCCAAGGGGCTGTTAGCCGGATGGAGTCCAGGAAGTATGGATAAACTAAAAGCAAGAGTACGTCTGTAACGACATCGCGCCGATAACCCCAAAGCATTACAGCATAAAACTACGGGGTCCACGAAGATCAAGTTACCCACACACTCCAACTCCACATGCGCTTTTTTTCACATTACTAAGCAGCAATGGTAACGCTGCAATATACTTCGGTGGAAGCAGCTTGTGAGCCCCAATTCCCGGAGTGTCTGGGGTGGAAGATCTGGTGCTCGACTCTGTTAAGGAATTGTCTTACAAATAAATTACCCAATTGGCTTCTAGGCCTCGTCTGATTAAGCAATCACAGCAGGTGCGGGCACTAAACATAGAGACCATGTGTCCAATAAATCATCCCTTTCCGAGTTTTTTGCTCATCCATAACCGATTGAGCATAATCAAGTCTTCTGTGCTCTTGTTCATTAGGAAATCACTTTGTCCGCTTCCCTATTTGATATAAGAGTTCTTTCACAAGCTCCCCCACAAAGACGCAAAGGAGGTAAAATCGTTGGTTTGTTTGAATTTTTCCCACTAGCTTCGCTGCACATGTATCTGTCATTCAACTTATACAGAATGTAAGTCACGCGAGAAGAGTCATTCCTTGGCTATTCCGGTCAGACGTTTAAATTGCCTGATTATCTTCTATAGGTGATGGATGTTTGATGTAACGTATTGTGTTATTATGCCTCTCTATTATATGTGCTTGAGCTTACGTGTAACATTGTGGCAAATGCGGCTTTTTGTCTGTTTACATGAGGCATTTGCCATGTAATGTCGGTGTTCATGCAAAGGGAAGTTTGCTTCAAAAAAGGGGGAGAGAATAACTTTGTTTTGCTGTATGAAATCTGTGCTTGGGTTCGATTTATGCAACATGACCTCAACAATCATCAGTGGAAATGTGCAAAGATGTTTAATGCTCACATAAATTGATATTTCCTCTTGCATTGTCAATTCTATTAACGTCTACTTAGTAGATTGCTTCACAATTTTATTTAATTTTTTGTATTTGACACAAAATCAAATAATTGTTCTTTTTTTCAAAAAATTGTAGACTTTTTAAAACAATTGTTTATTTTATATACAAATTTTGAAAAACTATTTGAAGTCGCAAATAAATTTTCTCTCCAAAAATATGGTTTATGTTTAAAAAAAATATGGTTTATGCATAATGAAATTTTAAATTTAGTATATAATGTAAGTAAATGAAAGTTTTATTGCCTCGGACTCGAACGCGAACAAATGACGTATTAGCTGTTTTGCATACCTCAAGTGAAACCGTTTATTCTTAGGGTAAACTTCTCTTAAAATTTGTTGTAAACTACAAGTACGAATGGCTAATTAAAGCAAAGGGGGGATTTGACAAGTGCAAAGGGGAACGTACACTGTCAATCAATTCAAGCGAAAATGAAAAATTTCAATACGATGCGAAAATTACGGTTTTCGACGTTGCAGTCAACAATATTTCAAAAAAAGCCAAGAGATCAAGTTGTTTAATATGGATACAAGTTGTTTAATTTAGACATATATATATATATATATTTTTTTTTTGTTTGTTTTATATTTATTAATAATATTAATATTTAAAAAAAAAAAAAAAAAAAAAAAATGAAAATTGCAAATGTATGTCATAAACTTAAACAAGGGCATAATAAAAAGAAAAAAAACAATTAAATAAAACTCTGTTCACAAATTCAAGCACTAGTCACAGATTTCATATCGCCAAGTTTTTGATCTCTCTTAATCGCTCCTCCTGAACGTAATAAAAAATAAATTACATTCTGATAAGTTATTTCATTCCTTTAGGTTTATCTTAAACTTCATGCTTAAGGCTTAATAAGGTAAAATTTCATGGTTTCGTTTACCATTTCGATACGATTTTCCTACTGATTCTACTTTCTCTGTGACTTGACTAATGCGTAGCGTATCACCCCTTTTTATTTATAAAATATCAATAATTAGACTTTATAGTCATAGAAAGCGATACTTTATATAAGAACCTTTATATGAAAAGAGATCCAAGAGAAATAGAACAATATGGTCCAAGTTTATCAAAGTGAATTTTTCATTGAGATTAACATTTGGAACTAAATTTCATCATTACTGCTGAATGACATCATTCAATAATGAGTTCTTAGAATGACATATAAATGTCGTCACTATTGAGGAATCTATATGATTTTTTAGATAGCACCAACCTTCAAACGAAACGTGTGCTATTATTGTTTTTCTAAAAATGGAAAACAAATCTCGGTTCCCCAAAATGCTTGCTGTTTATAAAGTAACGCCTGGAATATCATGAAATTTTTGGTACATTCCGTTTGAAGGTTGGTATTACCTAATAATCATATGAATGAAATATTTTTTGAGTGATCTGATATTTTGCAAGAATGCATTCATTTCGTACAACCAAATCCAATTCTTCATCGATTTTCATGGAGAAGTATTTTTATTACATATTTAGTTTATAATCTATCTGAAAAGGTAATAAGTAAAAAAGTTATGGTAAGGTGAGGAAAACATTATTAGACGGACAGACGGACAGACATGGCTTAATCAATTCAGAATTTCACGCTGATCAAAAATATATATAATTCCTAGAGTCTCTGAAGGTTCCTTTTGGGTGTTACATGCCTTATAAAAAAAAAAATGAGTATAACCTTCAGCCTTCAGTGGCGGATATAATAGCGAAATTACAGTAGTTACTAAATGGAAAATTGATATTATGCCGATTCAATCCTCTTTATTGATCACACTGGTTTAATGCAATTTTTTATAAATGGAAAATCCATATCATCAGGAATAGTTTTTTTGTTAAGCAGCCACGGGGCAGATGCAGGGCTCGTCCTTGGGACAAAACTCTTTAGCGAATCAATTCAAATTTATCAAAATATCTCACATATTATGACCTGTGAACTGATCCAAAATTTGCCTAGACGTACTGTGGACAAACGCTGCACTGTGTGCAAGTTGTGAAGTAGGATACAACAACACGGTCTGCAATAGTGTCAGATTTAAAATTTTTTAAACTATTTAAAAGCCTTTCGCTGTAATTTGGTGGATTATGGTTCGGTGGATGTTGTAGACAAGAGAAATGATCCTTTCACCAATTATGTAAATTAAAGGGCTTATGAAATTTATCCTTTCACATCTGTCAGAGTGCAACTTCTTCATCTTCTTCAGCTTAACATTCCGGGTCTGAATTGAATTTTCAGTTGTACATATTAATTTAAAAAATTAAGTACATGGTCCTGATTGATCTATTTGTACACTAGTAATTAACAAAATTGCCTATAATTATAGGCTTATTAGCTTTAAGCGACGATCAAAATTCACTCCGTAGGACAAGATATACTTCTCAAATTGTTCAGTAATAGAAATATGATTAGAGCAGAAATGTATTAAATTATTCTTGATTAGCGGCAATATAATATTCTAGTAGAATAATGGCCCCATAATGCTGAGTTTGAAAGCAAATAAATACATTTATCGTAGCACTGAAAACTAAATGCGATCTTTTCTTCGACATTTAACGCTATTGAAAATGTTTGAAGGCATTCAACTTTCAGAAATGCTTTCAAGCCTTTGATTAATGAATGGCTAAATCCTTTGAACTTAAGCTATTAATAATTGTTCTTTCGTTTTATATTCTCTTTCTTTGATCTCAAAAATGAATTATTTCTTTTACTTACTTCCAGTTTTCAAACGGGTTCTATCTACACATACATAGGGGAAGTGTGCATTTCAGTGAATCCTTACCGACAAATAAATTGTTATAATCCAGACACGATAAGAGCATATAAGGGCCGACAATTATTCGAAAATTCGCCGCATATATTTGCGATCGCGGATGCCGCGTACCGAATACCGAGAGAACGCCGTCAAGACACCTGCATATTAATATCCGGAGAGTCTGGTGCTGGTAAAACCGAAGCATCCAAAATCATTATGAAGTATATAGCGGCCGTTACGAATGTTGGAGGACAAAACGAAATTGAACGGTGAGTAAAACGCTAGACACGCTCTACTTTTATAGGAATATCTGAACCCAGTCGACGAGTTTTATTATTCACTCAAAAGCTTAATATGGTTGTGTTAACCAAATGTATTCCTTTGAGCAGTGCGCCTCTTAAATACTTGAAACGTAACTTGACGCGTATATTAAAGTAGTTAAAAGGCTTCCGTAACAAAAATGAAGCCAGCTTATGAGTTCATAGAAAGTGTTTTTATGCTATAACTGTACTCTTCTCTTAAGCAAGTATAATTTTTCAGTGCTTTTCCAAAACTGTTACTCAATCCTCTGTTAAGTGATTTCCTGGAAGCCTTTCAACATGTTTATCAGTGGCCGCAAAAATCTCAAAAATATATTTTTTGAGCTCTGAGAACAAGTGATTGCTAGAGAAGTTGAATGTTAAAAGTGTCAGGAATTCGCAGCAGTATCGTCTTAATTTAAACATCGTAAGAACGTATTGTCCAGTCGGGCTATTTTCTTCATAACAAATTTTTTTCTTTTTTATACCCTACTTGTGGCACAGGGCATATGAAGTTAGAGCGGTCGTATATAACACTCAGGACAGGTTAAGATAGACCCACCTTTTATTATACCGACCGTTTTAGAATCGTAATCTGAATTGATCGCGATTTTTGCAAAACAGCAACTCTTCTTAATTAGCCGCGGTTGAATAGCCGCCCTTCAAGCTTCAGGCTCAGACCTATCTAATGGAGTCTAAAACTTTGTAAAAAGTTTATGTAGTTGTGCAGCTGGCTACGTAATCTGCTTAAAAATTCGAGTTATGCTGATTAAGATTAATGGACCCAAGCCGGATTTGAGGCCTTTCGAGGTTAAATCTTCTTAGTATTCCATGATTTAAATTTAACACGTTCGCGGACATTAAAAATTCCAGGGAGCTGCAAAAATAGACAGGCAATTATTTTTGAAACTATTTGTAATATCCAAAATCTGATTATACATATATTACAAGAGTAGTCAGAACATCGTATTTTAATTGTTATATGAAATGAATGTTAAAGCATCCACGACAATAAAGATCATATTTTTCAACTAGGATGACGTGAATGCTATAGAATTCATTCATAGAATATATGAGAAAAAAAGGTTTATTATAGTTTCATTACATTTTTTTTTCAAAACTAGATCTTTGTTCGTCTGCATATAAAAAAAATGATAAATTAAATCCATAATCTCGTGGTATGTATATGTGATAACAAAACTAAATATTTCTGTCCATCATTATGATTGAATGTAAAAATAAAAAAAAAAGAAAGTACTGAATGAATCAATTGGTCATTACTTTGAAATGTATATTAATTACAAAAACTTAAGGTTACATGAAATTAAATGAAGAAAAATTGGCTTTAAAATTTGAATGCTATAGCATTCACGTCATTTTGCATCACTATGAAAATGAATGCTATAGCATTCACGTCCGCGAACATGTTAAGCAAATATTTTTACAAAAAGTTGGCTTTTATGACATAATATCCCTACTCATGATGATTAGTTTTCATTTTCTAACCGAAATTCTTGTGTCAATAAAACTTTTTACTATTATGTAATGAATTTGCTACGCATCGCAGCTGCCATGTTTCTGAAAACAGTGGACAAAAAGAAACTTAGATCTGTTCGGTACATATAATAAGTAATTCAACGGAAGCATTACCGTACATGTTCATTACACACTTTATCATGAGATCATGAAATCATTATATCCTATTTCTATATTCAGCTTGTGCGGGTGTGTGAAACACCCAGAAGGACTTGAGTTGGACTCATCCTTTACTATACCGATATACACAGAAAGTGATTCTAAGCTTGTCTGTCTGTCCGTCCGTCTGTCTTGTTCTCCTGTGTTCAACCGACACGTCGCAATTATTAAGATATTTTGATGAAATTTAGTAAACCGACGTGTTTTGCTTCAAGGACGCAATCTATTAAAAATAGTTGGTATTGGACCAGTTGCCATGTAACGCGTTACTTTGAAAGGTCGTTAGATGAATAATTGTAGCAAGTCAAGTAGAGTAGGGTGTTTAATAGTGAAGCATGGTTAACTATAGCATTTTTATTTACTTAAATCTTAAATCATACGTGTGTGTGTGTGTGTGTGTGTAGATAAAGTTACCGAAATCATGACAATTAATTTAAAAATGTTATCGTTTCTTATAAACTTTAACATTTTTGCTTGAATTGTTTAATCTATCTATAAATTTTTTTGTAACCTTTAAACTGGCCACACCTCATCATCAACCTAAATAAAGGTTTTTGCAATTTAAATGCGTTCGTATAAATGTCGACGCCTTTAATGGTTTAATGAATGACGACATTACCAACTTTTCCCTATAGAACGTTATTTTATAGCCAGCCCTTATCTAGCTAACTAACACAGAGCTTCACATAACCATAAGCTGGCAAATGTTAATAGCGTACCTTAAGTATGTACATTAACACAGAAGATTAAAAGACAAAAGCAAGCCATAAAGCAAAAAACATAAAAAAATCTTTATATTCATTGACTTCTTTTTTTTTTGTTTTTTTTTTTTTTTTTTTTATAGTTAGAACAGCCGTTTTCGCAATCAATTTTTTTACTTATTTGCCGATTAAATTCTTTCGATCAAAGATTGTAAATTTTATTGTTTAATTAGTGCGTGCTAACAAAGCCTTATTGGCAATAACTTTGCTTATGTCATCAAATTAGATTAAAAATATAAAATTAATATTTTAAAAAACAATTTTTTCAAATATTTTCTCACTTTTTTTTATTGAATAGAGTAAAAAACGTTTTAATTCAAAGCAACGCCATTTTGGAGACGTTCGGTAATGCAAAAACTAATCGCAATGATAATTCGAGTCGTTTCGGCAAATACATGGACATTGAATTCAATTTCAAAGGCGATCCCGTTGGCGGTATTATCACAAATTATCTGCTGGAAAAATCACGTGTAGTTCAGCAACAAGCGGGCGAAAGAAATTTCCATTGCTTCTATCAGGTAAATATCAGGTAACGTGTTAGATGATAACGCCGTAATATATGAACAAAAATTATGCAGCGTTAAAATTAAAAGTGATTTCAATCATTTCGACCCTTGACATAATATAAACTTTTACTTTTACTACAACAAAAAACAAACAAAACAAAATTCTATCAATTTAACAATTGATTATGAGTTATGCAACCTTTTTGCCTTTTTTATACCTCTTGTTGATTGGCATGCATTTTCCCGCAATATTGCCTTTAAAACGTTGTCATCAAAGTCGGAAGGATATCCCGTCTTTTAAGCTCGTATCTCCGGACAGACGGACGGACGGACGTGTTTAAATCGATTCAAATTTTCATGCTGAACAAACATATTTTTGCTTTAAGAAGGTTTTGAAGCTTTTTTCTGGTCGTCGCAAATGTTTTGATGAAATGAATATACCCGTATTTATCAAAAACAAAAGCAAACGATTTATACTGCACCTGTTGCATAAATGAAAGAGAAAAGTGCAAAAAAAAGTGCATAACTCCATAGATGAATTCATTATTGATATGAAAATCTTCATCACATACTTTTAAATTCCTCGCTGATAGATCTATTCAACAGTCGTTTCCATTGAAGATAAATGAGTGTTTTTGAAAAGGACATAAACTGTTAATGAAGACTTTTGTTGAGTGGTTTATTGGAGAAGTTAAACATTTTGACATGAATACTTTTCTTGGACTGATTAGAAAAGATCTCGAAATTTTAAAGAAAAAAACTACACTTAGCGAATTTTTTCCCATGAATTCGCAGAAGTTCAAAGCGTGTATTAACCCAATAAAAATATAATTTTTTCTATAAAATCTAGATTTTATTTTCCCCTTAGGTGATTAGTTTTGACGCTTATATACATACTCGCTTCACACTTAAGGGACTTAAGGATAAGCTCTTATCTCTATCGTTAAAAGTTCTATTAAATTCCATTCCTTTTGAGGAATTTCCTGTAGCATCAATTGTTACTTTAGGCGGTCATTTTCATTTCTTTATTAATTTACACATGCAATTCCGGGACAATAAGATAACGCTCGAATAGACTAAACTTCTAATAATAAATCTTAAGCTAAACGTTAAGATTAACTTTTGTGAAGCAAATATAAAAAAATAGAAGAAAGCATGTATAGCTCTAACATAGTCGATCCAAGCTAGGAGTGAACCATCCTATTCCATTTTTATTGACTCGGCTAAGTATTAAAGATTAGATTGAATATGTTTTAATCTTTCCGAATGTTCTTTGCCTAAAATTCAAGCACTATGAAGATTATCAGAAGCTCTTCAACGCATACAGGAAATTTAATCTGTATATCGGACTCGTCTTATATAATATCAAAGTAAAACTCCTTAAGCCTTGAACAAAGCCCCGCTAACAAAATTGATTATTTGGTGTTTGTTGTCATAGCCTCCCCAACTTTATTACGTTTGACACGATACAGTGGTGAACTTCTCGCTCGGACATCCACATTGATTGCGATTGTGGTTTTATGCTCGATTTGTTCTTTTTCTCCTCTAATTTAGAATTTTATACTTTACACCACTTGCGGTACAGGAGTATATTAAATTTGCGCAGACGTATTCAATGTCCACAAGGGCTTAACATGATAGATCCACCTTCTACTATACCGATCGAGTCAGAATTGCGTTCCAAATCCGTAATGTCCTTATTTTGCTCTTATGTTCAACCTATAAGTCGCACTTAATAAGATGTCTCGATGAAATTTCGTACCCGAAACTGATTTGAATCGAACCACTTCTACGACTACGTCTCAAATCAGATCTTATCTTGAAATTATTAGTTATATGAATAAATATATTAAGCAAAGTGATGCAGAGCAATTATTGATGAGCCATGATGAGTCAACAACAATCGTTTTACTTGTTTTATAAAACTTTAAACTTTACCTTAAATTAAAATTATTTTTTTGCTAGTGCTCAATGTCTCTTTTTTTAGTCTAAGAATTCAATTCATTAGTCTAAAATTAAAATAATAATAATAATAATAATAAAATTATTTTTGTTTAAGAGTTATTACAAGATTCTTATATTTGCTCAATTCGCATGTTATTCAATTGTGACTGTATTCCCCATGTATATAATTTATTTTGCATAGAAGCTTATGTTTACATATGTATAGACGTTAAGAGAAACAAAACCATACAAACACAATGCAAGCAATCGAAAATAAATCGATTTGGCTGCCTACCAAATCGCAATGCTACAAATCGACCCCTAATTTGGCATATAAACGTAGAGAGAAACCCATCGATTTCAAGGTGATTTCACCAAAATTTTATTATTATATTATATTATGCTGTCACAGTTTTTATGTCCATGTTTTTGCATCTTTCCACCTGAAATACCTAAAATCTCTAAAGTCACCTTCAGTATAAACATCGGATAGCAAGCTCTGCACACATTCGTACATCTTCATATTGATTTGATAGAAACGTTATGGCAGTGTCTTTAGTCCGCAGTAATTACTTACTAAATTTAATATCGAAAGAAAATCTCAATACATTCTTGTGTTGTATGTCCAATCTTATGTTTACGCAATGAACATGAAAATTATACATAGGCGACCAATTCGTTATTTGAGCTAAGCATTTGCACTAACACATTTGTGTTTACCCTATAAAGAAACAAGCGACTTGAAAGAAATTATGTTCACTTTCGATGTCATCTCTTAACGTATGCTGCCCTCCAATCACCAGCTTACGTTACAGCGAATAAATTTTCATTAAATGCAGGCGGTGGGCAAAAGTCTACTTCCCTGTTGGACAAAATTGGAAAAAATCAATATGTTTTCTTTTATCCACCACTGTACGATGGAAGTCTACTCATGTTGTTTTTCTCCAAGACATATATATAAAACACAATAGGAAGCTTCAGAGACCCTATAAAGTATACACATTTTGTTTGTCAGCCTGAAATTCTGAGTTGATTTAGCTATGTCCGTCCGTCTTTGCGCTGTGCGGTGTGTGTTGTTGGTACTCTCCTGCTCGCAAAAATGAAAATATCGACTTCAAATTTGGTAGAAATGTTGGAAATTTTTGCACGCAGGTTGGTATTGAAAATGGGCCAAATTGATCAGAGCAAAACCGCGCATAGGTGCGTAAACTGAACGTAAATCAGTTTTTTTTAACAAACATTTTTGGGTTTCTGCTTATTACTCGGAAATTATTAAAGTTAGAAGCCTGAAATTTTCCACATTTACTTTACGACGCACTCCACTCTTTGCGTGTAAAAATGAAGAACCTCCAAGAATCATGCCCACACAAAGTTACAAATGATTAAATTCTGTTCTTTTCACTTTTTTGAGGTTTTATGCTTATTTATCATAAGGCGATCAAGACCGAATGTTTAAAAGTGTTTTGTTCACTCCTCAAATGAAAAATGGATTAATTCTAAAACGATATGATAGATACCGCCATTAATTTTTTCTTACAAATACCATTGATATCGGTATCACATAAATGAACTTTAAATTTAGAATGCGAAAAACATAGGGGTGGATATGCGAGACTCGGCTCCCGCGCAGTATATAGTTTTCTTACTTGTTTTTTGCTTAATAGATGCGTGTAAACCCTTGTAAAATAAATGGGAAAAATTTTTCTTTGAAATTTCGGAATTTTCCGTAATCAAAATATCTTGGACAGAGCGACTGACATTGTTGTGTGCAATTTTAATGACGGTATAATTAGTATTGTAAAAATCATTAAAGTTTTGAAAATGAATATTGGTATACGCATTGAGGCTAAATCTTTCCAAAAAGCTGAGCGGTGTTCAACAGCCGGATTATAGCATGAGAACTTCGAGAAAAAAGAGAGAGTAGAATTATTTGAACGTGGAAACTTTTCTAACACAATTTTTAAAGTCTCCAAGCAACATAATTTAAACAAGGATTTGCCGTTTTCTACTAGCTTTCAAAAATAAGTTTTTTTCCTAATACTTTAAGGTAAGCAAGCATAAAATAATCTTCTCAAAGATTGTTATTCTCCTACTTTTGCCTCAATCCAAAAAAAAAAAAAAAAAATTGCCAAAGGGAATCTTTTTTTTTTTTTTGTCTTTTAGTCTGCTACAGTTGTCTAGCGACTTAGGTCAGTTGCTTAAGACATTACAGATTTCTTAAATGTAATCTTTTTAGAATGTTTTCTCAACATTTATGTACTATTAAGTTTTACAATTTTAGTTAACATAAAAAATTGACATAATGTGCGATCTTATGTTAAGATATTTATTTAATACCAGAATATATTTAGTGTTTTAGAAATAACAACAATTGTATTAAGACAAATAATGATTGAAATAAAGCTAGAGACAGCTTCACATACATATTTATACATATACTTGTATATACAAAAAGAAAAAGGAAAAAGTAATAAAAATTAAATTCGAAAAGAATAAACTGTAGTAGAAAGATAACATAGTCGTTAGTGGAGCATATTCATAAGAAGAAGAAACAGGAAAAATAAAATAGATTAAATCTAAACTTCTAAGATGAATGAACTTTGATACTACACATCTTTTTGTTATGAAAGAGTTAGAGGATTATAGAGAGAGAGAGAGGAAAGAGTTCAACCGTCAATGCGCTGTTTAATATAAGTTAATTTTGAAAGTCTATGAAGTTCGAATGTAAGATATCTTTTGAGAAGTTTGTGTACAATTTTGAAGTTTCCTTATCCCTTGAATGGTCTTGAAGGCGCTTAATATGCATTTTAAAGCATTTTTCGTCCCTCCGTCCATCTTGTGTTCAACCTACAGATCACAATTTTTGAGACGCTTCGATTAAAGTTGATACACTCACGTGTATTATTAAAACGATAGATTCAGAATCACTTTCTAAAGCTTGTCTGTCCGTCTGTCCTTTACGTGTTAATTATACCGCCCGCTACTTTTGAGGTATTTCAGCGAAATTTGGTACATCGACGTGTTTTGGTCCAGGAAGGAAAACTATTGACAATGGTTCGGATCGCAACACTTTTTCGATCGCTTACCATACAACGTTTCATTTTGAAACATCGTTATATGAATAAATATAGAGTGGTTTATGGTATTTAATGGTGGACCATAGCCCACATAGTGTGTCTGATTGTTTATATTTAATATAGATTTGTACGATGTAAAATTGGAAAATAGAATTTCCTACATGCACTTTCCAAATGTTCTTGACATGTAAGTTTATTATTAAGAAGAATTTACAGCTTTAAAATAAATTAATTAAAATAGGTGTTCATCGATGTTGCACTAAGAAATATAGTCGTGGAATTCTCTTAGGATATCTATAGAAAGGAAAGGATGTAGTTTGAAATATGGACTCATTTATTTTAATTCTCCATTTCGAAAAGCAATTGGAACATGGAGAGAACATTTCGCCTTTGATAATTTACCGATGCATATAAGAGCGTTATGATCAGCATAGAAAACAAATTTGATGAGCACTTGAGTGCTCTGATTGAAAACCACATTGAAATATACGAATTAAATTATATTAAGTGGTTGTTGAAGACCAATTTTTTTAAACAACTTGCCCGCCAAGCTATCGGACAAGAACTGAAAGTAAGTGGATTGCCCTTACCTTGCTTTTAGAAAGCGGGAAGTGTCCTATCCAGAAATTAACTTTTAAGACCAAGATTATGCAAAGGGACACAAAGTAGATTTGAGAAGAAGAAAAACCTATAAATGTCCTTTTGAGTCGTTTAAGCAAGTCTTTCATTTCAGAGATGTTAGCCCGGGAATCTCTTTTCCAATCTAAATTTTGGGCAAGAAATGTTATCTTTCTTATCAAACGGAAGAGAGCAGTTGATACTGATAGAGCGAGAAGAGAATTGCAATTTGAAGAAATATCAAATTGCTTAACTAGTTTTGAAGATTTTAAATATAAAACAACAGAAAAAAGAGCAAAAACATTATAAAATGTTTGAATATCTATAATAGTTTGTTTATAACAGCTTTACATGTTTACCTTAGTGCAATAGCGTGAATTTATTACAACGCGCGTGTTTTAAATGACTGTTAGTTTGCTGTCTAACTGACCATATTGAGTTTCCGCTAACACGCATTGGCTTCTTTCCAAAACGGTAATGAATTCTGTTCGATGTAACTATTAAAAGGAAGTAAATGCATTTAATAATTCTACATTAATAAACGTATGCAATAAAAAAGAAAGATTCATTTATGGACGTACATATGTACGTGCACATATGCGCAGGTGGCCCTCGTATAACACACGGTTAATTCATACTGCACTCTATCGAAACCTTGTTACACGAAACTTTAGATTCATATAATTTAAACCTTAAACTAATATGAATAAATGTAACGTGTATTGTGTTGTATCGAAGCAAAGTCTTAAAGTGTAGCATTGTATGTTAGCTTAAATTTTATTCAAGCCAAGTTTTTATAAATGGAAACAGTATAGTGGCGCAATGCCTACCATTAAATACCCTATACCCACTTGCAGGTACACATATATTGACTTTTCAAAACAAGAAGGTGTTTGGAAAATGATCGGAAAAATGCTCCGATCTGAGTAATTTTCAATATGATTCGATTCTGGAAGAAAGATTGTCGGTATACCAAATTTCATCAAAATATGTCCAAAATAGCTGTCTATAGGTTGAATACAAGAAAATAAGACAGGCGGACAGACAGGCCGACAAGCTTAGATCGGCTGTAAGGATGATTTCTGAAACGATTAGTGTAACAAAAAATGGGTCTTTCTCAAGTCCTTCTTAGTATTGTGCACACATTCATACAATCTTAATATATCATTTTACCACTACGGATATAGGATATAAAAATATGATATTCAACATTATGATGGAAGACAAAAATCATATATATATATATAGAGAAAATTACAGAAAGAATTTCAAAATATCCTCAACAGCACTACTCTTTTATTAACCCTCAATTAACTCCACATTGAAGAAGTCCTCCTCCCCAATTTGCAGTTGTGGGCAAATTCTCACTACAAAGCCCATCCTCTGTGACTGCCTTAACTTTTCCTCGGCTAGAAGTATTGCATTTGGAAGGATTAACCCTTTGGACATTGTAAAATCAGCTTCAGAACAGAATATCAATTCAATATATTATTTTATTAAAACTACTAGGCTCAATGTCTAATGTACATTGATATAAATTAGTGCCGATAGCCTGTGTTGCTAGTGCTCAATGTCTTTTTTTTTTTGGGCTAAGAATTTATATCATTAGTTTAAAATTATAATAAATATATGGAAGAAATAATAATGATGATCAGCAAATTAATTTTCATCGTTCAAATCTAGCGGAATGCGTGGCGATCTTTTCAAATTGTATTATATCAAAACTGCATTATAATATTCACAAATTTTGTACCATGTTTGGCAAATATCGTGTTATACGAAGAGCACCTGTGCATTTGTGCATTTTGTGTTAACAGACATGACACTTTTTTACATAGGCAAAAATGTTTGACGAAAACATTTATTTATAGCTAAGAGAATCTCTTGATTTGTATTAACATACATTACATAGCGAATACTTAATTGTAGGCATTTGCGTTAAATTAGTTGCAATTAAAAACGGAAATTCTAAATATCCATAAGAAACATAAGCAGGCATTATTGATAGCAGTGATATGACTCATCATCATCATCATCATCATCATCATCGTTAATAGTGCGTTTGTTTATGCTTATCTTTTACAGCTTTTACGCGGCGCTGCGGATAGTGAACTGGGTCAATATGATCTCATTAGAGATCCTTCAAAGTATTATTACATGAATCAGGGAAGTATGGATATTTTAACGGAAAAGGCGGATTTCAAAGGAGCAAATAGTGCCTTTAAAACGCTGGGATTTGCTACAGATGAAGTTTCTACCATTTGGCGTATTGTGGCGGCTATATTGCATTTAGGAAATATTGAATTTCAAAGTAAGCTCTAAAGAATATATATTTTCGGTATTATTCGAGTAAATTGAAATTGGATTGAATTTGATTTAGCAATTGAGGATGACTTGGTGATCACAAATAGGTCTCATTTAAAATCGGCTGCCAAACTTCTAGAAGTCACCGAGAACGATCTCTCAACGGCCTTAACGGAGCGAGTAATTGCCGCTGGTGGTAACGTTATGCAGAAGTATCATAATGCCACTCAAGCGGAATACGGCAAAGATGCATTGGCTAAAGCCATTTACGATCGCCTCTTCACATGGATTATCTCTCACATTAATCGGGCTATACTATTTCGTGGTTCTAAAGCCCAGGCACGCTTCAATACAGTAATTGGTGTATTGGATATTTACGGTTTTGAAATATTCGATTCAAACAGTTTCGAACAGTTTTGCATCAATTATTGTAACGAAAAACTTCAGCAACTATTTATCGGTAAGAGGAGGAACAAATCAAACAATTAAGATATTTTCGCTCATTAATGAATTGCAATATTTTTTTCAGAACTGGTTCTAAAGCAAGAGCAAGAAGAGTACCATCGCGAAGGGATTGCTTGGCAAAAAATTGATTATTTTAATAACAAAGTGAGTACAAAATGAGAGATGGACTTGTAGGGTTGACAAACTTCTCGAGGGTAAAAAAACTCGGCATGGATGATAGACGAACAAAGAGAACATAGATCAAGTAGTTGGTATGGATGGACTTGAAATTGAAAATCGATGATAGCCAACGGCAATAATATGGGACTTGGGACCGGGATAAGAAAAGGGATAACCGCTCTGTCGTTGACATTGGAAAGAAAAACGAACATGTGCTGAACAACACTACAACGAAAAAGTTTCCCTTGAATAAAGGCGGGAAGCTGCTGGTTACGTAAGACCGTGGCTCTTCAAAAGAATAGCGCGTAAATTGTTGACCACGACAATGAAAGGTTTTTTTTAGGTAGTCCCCTGAGACAATATTTAGACATTTATCTTAAAAAAAGTGGTGAACAAGAGTGTAAAGTTATTTGTAAGTAGCATGTTTTTTTTTTTGCTCCATAACAAATTGCATCTATGATTCGACCAGGGCTAAGCAAGCGGGAAGAGCAAGATTTTGTCGTGCGACTGCTAGCCCATCGTTTCCTCATCTTTGTTCCGTGATATCGGGGGTTCCCGATTTTCACTAATAGGGAACCCCTTAAAAGGCGGAAGGATATATATGACTTACCCTCTTTATCATTACATTCTTTGCTATATACCATTTCATTCCCCATATTACCTTTGGCTTTTTGATACCTAAAAAAAAAAAATCCTATTTCCAGATAATATGCGATTTAGTAGAGCAACCACATAAAGGCATAATTGCCATTATGGATGAAGCTTGTCTTAGTGTGGGCAAGGTCACTGATGAAACTTTATTGGGAGCCATGGATAAAAAACTGAATAATCACGCTCATTACAGTAGTCGTCAACTCAACCCTATGGACAAAGAATTAAAACATCGCGAAGATTTTCGGATCACTCATTACGCAGGCGATGTCATTTACAACATTAACGGATTTTTGGAGAAGAATAAGGATACGTTGTATCAAGATTTTAAACGTTTGTTACATCACTCGAACAACACGCACTTGAGCGGAATGTGGCCTGAGGGAGCCCAAGATATTAAAATGACAACGAAACGGCCACTAAGTGCCGGCAGTCTATTTCAGCGTTCCATTATCGACTTGGTAAATACGCTACAGAAAAAGGAACCGTTCTATGTGCGTTGTATTAAACCGAATGATATGAAGAGTTCAAGTGTCTTTGACGATCAACGTGTAGAGCATCAAGTGCGTTATTTGGGTTTGTTGGAAAATGTGAGAGTACGCCGTGCTGGCTTCGTGCATCGCCAGCGCTATGAAAAGTTTTTATTGCGCTATAAAATGATTTCCCAATACACTTGGCCCAACTTTCGTGCCGGTAATGAAAGAGATGGTGTAAGGGTATTAATCGAAGAAAAAGGTTTCAGTGACGATGTAAAGTACGGCCATACAAAAATCTTTATACGTTCACCGCATACATTATTAGCGTTAGAAGAACAACGTAACTCCATGATACCGCATATTGTTACTTTACTGCAGAAGCAAGTACGCGGTTGGATAGCTCGTCAAAATTACAAAAAAATGAAAGCCGCTTTATTCATTATACACGCTTATAGAAAATATACACTGCGCGCTTATATTCAGCAATTGGCACAAAATTTCCGTTCGGCTCGCAACATGAAAGATTACGGTCGTCATATACAGTGGCCAAAGCCTCCGTTGACTGGTCGCTCCGCTGAACAAGGATTACGTCGCATTTACAATAACTGGCGTTCATACATGATATTACGTAAATGGCCTCGCTCTGAATGGCCGCAATTGCGTTTGCAAATTATTGCAGCGACAGCTATTAGAGGCCGTCGTCTCCACTGGGGACAGCAAAGAAAATGGTTAGGCGATTACTTGGCCAATTCACAAGAGAATTCAGCATATTTGGCGTACAGCTCCAACGTTAAGAACCTTAAGAATAGCGAAGCCGGCGAAGGTTTTAGAAGCGTCCTGTTTTCATCGTTCTCCAAAAAATTCAATAAGCACAACAAGCAAGCAGATCGCGCATTTATTATAACCGATGGAGTCATATACAAATTAGATGGCGCTAAAAATAAATTTAAAAATTTGAACCGATCCATAGCTATTAAAGAGGTAATTAATTCCGTCGTATATATTCTTTACTTTTTTTTCACTGATATCTTAATGATTTTTCATAGTTAACTTCAATCAGTATCAGCACTGGACGCGATCAATTAATTGTGTTTCATTGTCCGTCCAATAATGATTTGGTGTTTGCTTTACAGGCGGAAAATGGCACTCTAAAAGAAGATCGTATCGGTGAATTGGTGGGGATTGTGTGCAAAAGATATCACGAGTAGGTTTAAAACTCCATTGCTCGATTCTTTTGCATAATCAAGTTTTCTTACTTTCTTTCAGTCTTAATAATTGTGAATTGCGAGTTAATGTAAGTCCAACAATAGCATGCCGTTTGGGTGGTAAGGCACGCACAATTATAATTGAGGGTGCCTCGGGTGTCGAAAATCCCAATTTCCGACATGCTGCCGGTAATATTATCTATGAAGTGCCTGCACATTATTGCGTCTAAAATGTTCCTTAGTTAACTTATGATAATATTATAAAACTTTTCGGTTTTGGTTACATTCTAAATATGCTTTTGCCTTATGTTTATATTAGATAACTATAATTACGTTACAAAACTAAAACTAATGTTATTCTCTTGATCCGTGTGTTTACTCAGATATATAGTATATTATAATTATTTTAACTAACTTTAATGTTTTTAACTAAATTAAATTCTAAGAGGGTTTTTACAACACTGTCTACACAAGCAACGAAAATATTCAAATTCATCGATTAAGATGCTTACTTAATACTATAACCTATCATAACATGACAACGAAAATGAAAGCATTTAACTTGTAGTTTTTCAATTCTATATATAATTTAAATTTTAAAATCATTGTTGATGGATGTACTTATTATTACAGAAGAAGAAGAAAAAAAAAAAAAAGAAAAAAAAAAGGAAAATCATTTATTACGAAAATCCCACGATACAGCGAAACGTATCAAGTTGTAACTTATGGTGCCATTCATAAATTAAATCTAAGAACTTTTTGCTTTTATTCTTTATATTATTCCGCTCTTAACAGCAGAAGAGCGAGACACGGTACATTAAACAAATATGATTTATGAAGTATTGATTAGAGTATGGGGTAAATAGTCGCAACTCGACTTTCATCCAACGCTGTACATTTGCGTGCTTTTTTTACATTTTTTGATTTTGAATTTGAAGCGATTCAAATATATGAAAACTGATAAATAATGACCATAAGTAAATGTGTGTGCCTTGAAAACGTAGTGCTTTTCAGTATTTTATTAAGAATTATTTTCAAACGATTGCTTCACCTCAATGTCTAGCATTTTCACGAACATAATGAAAACAAACTTTTATTTTTAAGATTGTTGTTGTTATTTTCCTTCGGTCGTATTCTTTTTTTTTTTTTTTTTTTTTTTTGCTTTTTAAAAATAAAATTATGAAAACATTCGCTCGTAATCATGATTTGTCTATTTTTGTTAACTCACTTGTTATGTATATATTATTTTTATAAAGTAGTCATAAAATATAATAAAATAAATTGTAATTCAAATAGATCCGTAATCCTATCATTTATTTTCAATTACACGAAATTATTTCTTTTCACAAAAACTTGGTTCTCTTTCATTTTTATGAAGAAATCACGAACTGCTCTGGTTGAGTAAGCGAAGTTTTTATCTAACTTCTACTCATAATTATTTCGCTTGCAATCTCCTACTCATTAGATTCGTAGCAGCCAAATTCATGAACTGCCTAACCTAAGAAAATGACTCATCCGCTTCAACCATTCAAGATTGATGTTCGGTTGTTTTAATTTTGTGCCTCCGTCGTATATATCATTATTCATCAGCTTAATTTCTTCTTATAAAATTTTTTTGTTTAAATCTAAAAATTTCTCTAAAATATTTCCAACAGAATTTACCTTCATATTTTAAAATTCATATTAAATTTAATATTAAAAGGACAACGTCAGGGGGTAAATTAACGTAAGAAACTTAGAAGAAAGTGTTTTAATAATAATATAATAATAATCGAGGAAGTTATTAAACGTAAGAAAATTTTATTCCATTATGGACGAATCTTCTTCACTCACACCCGTTGTATTGAAAAAAAAAATTCAATTTCGATGATGGGTGTAACTGATATTACCATTTTTGCACAGGTACAGAAGGATGCGAGTAAAAATTTTTATCGTTATATCTGATGTAGCTTATGAATAACGAGCAAAACGGTCAATTTTTTATTTTTAAAAACGCGGTCGTTCTCAGCTTATGTCTGATGGTAGGTGTACCCCTCCAACGGTTGTGGCCCGTTTCCAACAATAATCCGCGGCCAAGAATTTCCTATCGCAAGCGTTACGCGGATAGACAGACGGACGTGCTTAGACCAATTCAGAATAGAAATGGCGCAGAATTGGTAAACGAGTGAAAAGTTTATAATTAAAAAATTACAAATAAATTTAAATAATAAAAATAATTTAATGACATTAAGCAAAGTAATTCAGCTATCTCCGTGGCCAGAGATCGTCATCTAATGAAAATCTCTGTCAGTGTCATGGGAAGGGAGATAAACATTAGAGAAACATCATTTTAAATCACGTTTCAGAAATAAAAAAAAGAGCGGCGTTTAAATATATAAATAGAAAACTGCGCCTCTATGAGAGATTGTTAACATAGAGCGCATCAAAAGCGATCATAACCGGAATAGTTTGATTCATGAAAGAAGAAAAAGAAGAAACCTTTGTAACTTGGTAAACAGCAACAATTTTTGGCCTGAGGAAGAAGGGAGACCGGTTGCATTAAGGCAGTAGTTAGAAGAACGAATTAAAATTAGAAAAAAAAAGAAGGAAAATTTGCAACGAATCTTACAACATTTTATTACCGCATCTTATTATTATTATTATTATTATTATTATTATCGAGTAAACCACACTCGTCAGAAGGACTATGTGGGTTGTCGCCGATTCTTTGTGAATAGTGTCCACGATGGATAAACCTAGTTCATCACAATTTGTAACAAGAAAAATATCTGAATATAGTTATGATTATCAAGGAATCTGGTCTTATCGTACTTGATGAGATAATGCAATTCGCTTTCTCATTAAAACTAAGGTTTGCGAATGGATCCGAATTCAAATTAGATGAACCTCAAGAATTTTTCGATCATTAATTAGGCTGATGATCACATTGACTAGAAGAAAATCGAGAAATTTTCCATAATTCTGATTGATGCATATGTATATGGTGCAAAAATATCTACCTAGGTACGAGAATCACGAATAGCAGCTTCAGTAGATTCAAGAATAGAAAAGAAATTCATCCTTCAAAGTTGGAGTATATTTTACATTACAAAAGTTGAAATTCTCGTTTACCTTAAAGATATTTTTTTCCTAATTGAAAAGCTTTACATAATACAAGTAGGCAAAATAGTTTACTAGCATTATATGCAGAGGCATGAATGCCAGAAAAGGGAAATGTACAAACTTGGATATGAAATTTTAAGAAAAATTTCATTTGAATGAATGAAATTATTTTCCCTTAATTCATTAACACAAATTAAATGTAGTTACGCTTTATTTTTCAGCCTGTTAAGACTTCCTTGAACTGCGCCTACGATAACTGAAGGTCTGGGTCAGCAGAGATTAATTAAAAAAACATTTTTTTTTTTATATGAATCATTCGTTTAGAAAGTAAAAAATTTGTTTTAATTAAAAAAAAAAAAAAAATGTATTTTTAAAAACTATAAATAAATAAAATAAGTGAGAGTTCTATCTATGATGCGGTTGTATTTCAGACACCCTCCACTCATAAGAGTGATTGTGACTCTAATATTCTATCCAATCTTTAAGACAATTTAAGCATCTTATACGCAAATTCATGCTGGCCATTGTTTTAATATGATAACCTAAGCAGCAGCATAGTAAAGGCGTAAGGAATTTGTAAAATTTCATCTCATCGATTCAATTTGGATGCAAGCATGCAAAACGAATGCGTAACAATTGCACTTATGCTGAGATGTAGATAAATATCTATTATGTATGCGTCTCGATACATAAACAATAGCAAATTGAGAAACAATTTTTACACCTATTGAAACATTTAAAATTAATGAAATCAAATGGCAAACAGTCGTTGAACAGCGAAAAGAAAGACATTAACAGCATTAAGTAAAACGCATTCTTAAACGGCAAAGCGATTACATAAACTCTCCGATAATCGGCATATATTTGCAATAGAGTGTAACCTGAAATTGTTAAAATCAAAAAAAAAAAAAAAATATTGAAATAGAAAAAATCCTTTTAAATCATTAAATATAAAAAATATGGATCATCGCAGGAAATTAATGCAATTCAGAAAAAATATTCAAACTGAATTACAAATGCTGAACATTAATGAACCTTTAATTAGCTTGGAAGAGCGTAGGTCGCCTATCAGAAAATCATCGGAATTGGATCATTTTAAACGAGTCGATTATAGTATGAAATCTACAATATCCGTTGATAATTCGTTTTCGACAAGGCATTTTTCACCACCTCCATCAAGTATGTTGCAAACATATGAACTGAAGAGAAGCAGTGCTTCACAGAATCCCGTTGGGAAATATACAAATTGGAATAGTTCACACTATCACTTGACAAGCCAAGCCTGGTGTTGTGTGGGCGATCTATTGTCATTTTGCAATAAATACGAATTTAAAGCTGTTAGTGCTACAGACTCAAGATCTCATGTTAATATAGTGAGCGAAGTGCGTTCATTGCTCAGCGCTGAAGCTCCATTTGCCATGACGAAACGATTCCCGGGTAACACTCGTAATCGAGACAATTTATGGGTGTGCATTGGTCGCTGTCCAACCGTGGAATATCAGTTGAGAAGAATTCAGGGCATATTTCGTCGACCACTTATTCAGCTTAATGCAGATAAGCAGCGAATGGCTAGAGAGAATTTCCATTTGGCCATTAAAGAATTGCGTCGCGATCTCACTTCAAGTGTATCGGATGTTCGCCCTTACGATCGCTTTACATTTGAAAAAGAATTTCACCTCTACTGGCAGGATAATGAATGAATGATGTATTAATTCAGTGATATAAACTAACGTAAAACGCTTATACATTTGTGTATAAATACATCTTGAAGTGAAATTCATTAATTTTAACAATTAAATTTTTATTCAAATAAAACGCTTAAAAGCAATAACATTTGTAACAGCTGGTAAACACTTATTATTAAAAGGCTTATAAATGCTTGAGGCGTTTTAGCGTTACCAAAATCGTGAACTGTACTAATTTCCCAGATTTTTGTGCATCTTATTTAAACAATTCGTTTGATATGTAAAATATTTCGCAAACATGGTGGAATGTTTCTACTGCAGTCGAAATCCTTGAACAATAAAAGGAACATTGGCTTAACGATTATTTCCAAATCGAAACACAACTTTGGCACAGGAATTCATTCAAACAGGTTGAAGTGATTACCTGTCAAATGCATGTTTCCAGTCGCTTAGTAGGCACTTCGAAAAGTTGCCTACCACCAATACCAAGAGTGTAAAGTTACTTGAGTAATTAAAAAAATTTTAATTTCATTTTGGTAGTTTTGGGAACATTACGTATGGTAAGCGAAATGCGTGTACTGCGTTTTAGGCAATCACCCATTTTATAGGTACTTTCGCAATTTTCATAATTGCAAATCCGATCACATAATGTATCTTCCTTAACTTCGCTAATGGAGTGCAAATAATCACTGTACAATGAATCCTTCAAAATGAGGAGACTACGCGGTTCCAGTATTAATTTAAATAAAATTTTACGTCTGTCTGGATCAATCGTTACAGCCGAATTTGCATCCTTCTCATCCACGTCACGCTTAGAGAATTCAAGTATAGTGTGCGATCCTAACGAAATAGTAGATATGGTGGGAAAAAACAAAGGACCGTCTGTATGCGGCATTATGCCCTGTCCAGGCCTATACTCATTGACCAAAACATGATTAGCTTTTTGAGTTTCAAATATATTCAAATTATTGATTTTTTCAACATAAGTCTGCAGCCAAATGGGTATCTCTTCTGCGAGCATGCCGTTCACATGCGGAATACCACCATAGTTAATAAGACGACGATTTAACAATTGTGTCCACTTCGGTTTGGGTGTTCTTTCAATGTGGGACAGTATAATTTGCTCCTCTTCAGATGTGATAAAGTTTGGTATATACATGGCCGTCTCAGGGCACTGTAAAATTTATTCATTTACGTAGGAAATATAGAAAATACATTTGTACTAACCTTGCGTACTAAAAAGTCCGAAAAATCCATTTAATTGTTTAACTTTTATTCAAAATTGTAATAATTATCTCAAAAATGGGTAAAAAATTAAAATATTTAAAAAATAAAGGAACATATGTTACTAAACAATGCTTTTGAGCATAATTACGATAAACCATTTTTGCAGAGTTACCAACTTCAATAATGTTTAGCGTATTTAAAACGCATGCACACAATCACATAACGTAATGCCTAGACTTTACATCGTACGTTTTCGTTCGATTTGAATTACAAGGAAGAGACTGAAGACTATCAAATTCTTTCAGTATTCAGAAAACTAAATACAAACATTTCTTTAAATGCTGTATAGAAAAATAGAAAGCTATATAAAAAGTACCCTCTCCTGTGTCCTTATTCTCGAAAATATAACGCTCTATTGCCCTATTGTAGAAACAAAACGTAAATTGCCTATGTATTCCCATAGAACGTATTTAACATTGGATCTTGAAAATAATTTCCTGAATTTATTTACGACTGTCTGTCCATTTATCAATGCTAATTGCTTTTGAAAATAGATTACACCGAATAATTTTTATAATCGCTCTTAATATAACGTATAAGAAAAGATGCGATATTTGATATTTCTCCGACAGAGCTTGGCATTACGACGTACTAAATGAGTACGCAATATTTAGATAATAACGATCAATTTTTGAACACATTTCCATTTAAACTTCCTTACAACAAACACAATTTCATATGGACAAGGTCTAATAGTGATTGCTTTCGATGAGAATTGACACAAGACAATTATTTGGCATATAACTTTAATTAAGTTGGTCTACATAAATACGACCAGAAATGGAGAATAATAAGATCTTTGACTAGGTATGAACTTTGCTATGTATCGATAATAAGACTTCACCTTATTCTCTATTTCTAGATGGTGGAACTTGTGCATATATGGCAAAAAGGTGGAATTGTATTAGGTGAAGTCTTGCGTGCCTGCAGCGAAAAACAAAGGGATTTTCAAATCATTTTTCGTGTTGTTACAGAAAGTCGACAATTTCGACGAGTCGACCAACCAAAGTTGTACATATTTACTATTAGTTTGTTTAGTTTTATTATTTATTAACTATTGACAGCATTAAAAAAATGCCAAATTATTCACTTAATTATAAAAATCTTGATGCAGACAAATTTTTAATTTTTTGTATTATATTTTGGGAAATTTCGAAATTATATTAAAGCATAAATTTTTAATATCTATAAAATTTCTCAAGCATAAATAACGAACTGTTGGCAACTCTTTGTATTATCATAAATTTACATATCGCGAAATTTTACCGCCAAAGATCCTTGTGCAGAAGTTCAAAGTGGTCAATTTACTAAATGATCGAGGAGAGTCAAGTTGAGCCTGTTGCAAAAAAAATGAAACTCGATACTAAATGTGTATTGCGTTGGGCCAAACTTACTGAGCATGCCTTGGAACCCGTACGCGGTTCGGAGCGTGCTGCTGGTTTAGATTTACGCAGTGCATACGATTTAAAGGTATTAACACGTGGGGAAACTTTATTGTATTTACTCTAATAGTTTCAATGCGATTTGAAGGTACCAGCGCGTGGAAAAGCTTTGGTTAAAACCGATCTGCAAATACAAGTTCCCAGTGGCTCTTACGGTCGCGTAGCACCACGATCCGGCTTGGCTTGGAAGAATTTTATCGATGTGGGAGCTGGTGTGATTGATGAAGATTACCGAGGCAATTTGGGTGTTGTTCTTTTCAATCATTCCGATGTTGATTTTGATATTAAGCGTGGCGACCGCATTGCCCAATTGATTTGCGAGCGTATATTCTATCCGGAATTGGAGCAAGTAGATAAACTGGAAGACACTGAACGTGGTGAAGGAGGATTCGGTTCGACGGGTGTGACCGACCTGCCAGTTGCCGATAAAAATGGCGAATGTAAAGATGAGAAAGAGAAAGAAGTTGCTAAGCCTTGATTTTAGCTCGGTTTGCATTTCTTTTTTTCATATAATTATCGTGTTATTTATAAAGATGTAATAATTCACCTAAACATTTATAGAATTCCATATTTTTTAAGTTTTACCTTTGAATATGAATGAATAAAGTTATAATGTTATCTTCAATTAATGATTAACTCGCATACAACTTTCTGCACTCGGGAAGTGTGAAACATGCAATGTTTGATATATGGAATTAGTAAGCTCTCTAGCAAAAATGTGTCTTCTTTAAAGATGGATAACTCTGCATGTTGTTAATTGTTGCCCACATCCTTCGTTGCTTCTTGGCGCAACGGTTACGCTTGACACGTTTACATTCGGCGCTCATACCTATGCTCACGTCTTGGTGTATGCAAGTAATTACGATTTTAATTAGATATCTAATGTGCATTAAGTTACTACTTGGCGCTTTGCTTTCTTTATGAACTCCATCTTGCAATACATAATTTCTTGATGGCAAGCCACGATTTTAATTCGTACAATATACATAGTGTGTTTTTTTTTTTAAGTTAGGGTGAAAAAAGTCGTTTTTGTCGCACTTTTTTTTTTTTTTTTGATAAATAAAAAGCCTTCATTTTTAATGAATAGTTGTTTAATTTAAAAAATCAATTTTTTTTTTTTCATTTTTTAAAGCGAAAAAGTACAGAGCTTTAAGAAACTGTAATACAGTAATTGTTCCCCTATTTCTTTGCTCCCCGCCACCGTAGGCAGGGCGGTAAACTAAAACTTTCCGAACAAATATGATTTGAAATACGAGGGCATCGAAGGTAAGACAAAAACTTCTGTCTTTCTTTACCATATATATATGTAAAAATAGAAATGTTTTTTATTCTAGAAAATTTAAAAAAAAACCGAAATGGGCGTGTGTAAAATTAAGCATAGACACATATACACATAAGTGAAATTGTCTTCACTTCACGTAGAGACTTCTGTTAAATATTCTGCCAATAATAATTGTAAATAAAATATACGAATAGACATTATTATGTACATATGTTTATATTTATGGATGCGATCAGTTAAGTACACTTGGATTTTATTATTATTTAAAATTTAAAATATTGTCTGTAAGTAATTCTTTTAATATATATATATATATTCTTATAATATATAAACAAAAAAATTGATAAACAAAAATATGTTTGTCTACAAACATATACTTGTAAGGACTTATGTAGTTTGAAAAAAAAAAAAAGAAGTTAACTCTGAATTGACTAAGATTTCATATAATTTTCAATATATATATATTTCTTTTTTTATATATAAATATTATTTTATAAAATTATTATTTAAAATAAAAATTAAATTGCTGTTTCAGCATTTTTTCCTTTTTTGTTTTTTCATTGTTTTATAATTAACACACATCACAGTATAAGTATATATTTATATATAATTGTTAACAAATACATACGTACATACTTATATATATATCTATATATATATAAGCATGCGATAGTGAGTGTGTGTTTACATTTGGAAGACTGTGATTGTTGCTGTATTCGTTTCTTTTTTTTTGTTTGATTTGTTTTTTGAAAGAATTATTGTTTTTTTTTTCTTTTATCATACAATTAATTAAATTTATCAATTTGTATAATTATGCATAAAAAATAAATGTATTCATCTGGTTATGTACGTATATGGAAACATATTTACGTACAAACAATATGTACTTAATTTAAGGCATTTTGGTTTGTTAAGGATGCTTGGTTTTATTATTTAAATTATTTATATACACGAATACATAATTAATAAATAGAAAGAAATAAATTACATTTCCGATTACTTTCACTTACGTACGTAGAGTGTCTTTTATATATATATATATATATATATATATATGCATATATAGATATTTTATATTAGACCATAATTAAATTATGGAACAAAGTTTTTTTTATGGCATTTTCATAAAAATGAACGAATGCTTTTATATACGTTAGGGCTATTACTATAAATAGAGGCAAATAAAATAAAGAGTTACGAGAAGATGGCAAAAAGAGTATAACATAAAAAAAAAAAAAAAAAACTTCATTAATAAAAAAAAAAATAAAGTAAAAGAAATCATTTAATTCCAAATATGCTAAATGAATAAAAGGAAAACAAAAAAACTGTTATTAAACTGTGTTATCCAAGTAAAGTGTGTTATTACAACTTCCCCTAATAATTTATACACATTTACAGGAGATTTTACTTTTAAGTGAAGGTCATGTTAAGTGAAGTCATAAATGCTTTTTTTAGTTTATATTATTGCGCAATTTTGAAGCCGAATGCTTGAACTTTCGTTCGTCAATAGATAGGAGACCATTTCGGTTCCTGCATTAGTGCTTTTCACATAGATTTGGGTTTTCCACAGATCGGAGAAATCTAATTTCGCTTTCTAATGGAAACTGGTGAGGTGAATTTGTGCTTAAGGTGATTGGCATTAGGACATTTTGATTGAGGACATTTTGATTATTCATGTTTCCAGCATTTGAAGTAAATTAAGTTCGGTTCATTCATCGTATGTCTGCTATAAAGAAGAAGAAGCTGACTGGAATTCAACGATGACTATATAAATTCAATGTCCAATGAGCGAGGATAAGAAAGACGTAATGTTTTAAAGGATAAGACACAGAGATCAACATATTGGGAATAGTACCTTGAGGTCTATGGTAAATATTTGAAAATCAACTTCTTTCGTTTCATTTCCCTGTTGTCATAAGTGTTCAAAAGATTTGCAATATTTGGGAAGAAACTTAAGAGATCCTATAGGATATACATTCTTGATTAATATCCAATTCCTAGTTGATCTAATCATGTTCGTCTGTCCGTACGTGAGAAGCATTCTCTTGATGGGAGAACTAAGGAATAGAGGTTTAAGGTTTAGCAAAACTTTTGAACGCACTTGAAAGTGAGTCTTATCGGTAAAAGGACACGCCTACAGTGGGACATTATTGCTCTCAAACACAAAAACAGAATTATTTTTCCGTTCATTACTCATAAACCAGATCAAGCATAACTAGAAAGTTTTACTCTACAAATGATTATGTAGTAGGCGTGTAAAAATGAGGAAAAGTGGCCACACCCAGCCTATAGTATAGTGTAAAGAAATTTTCTTCTTGTTTTTTTTTTTTTTTTTTTTTTAAGTTGTATTAAGACAGTGGATGAAAAAGTTTTCCTACTGGTTTCCATTATAAATTCATTTTTATTATACAAGTCGTTAATTATTTTCCTTTAGTTTGGGAAATTGATTTTTTTCATTTCTTGCAAATTTTCAATTTAAAAAATTTTGTAAATAATAAAAATTTTTAAAAGCACAAAATGATTATGACTCCTTTTTAACCTTCCAAAGAGAGAATTAAATTAAAATGAAATTTTTTAAGTGAAAGAAGGAAAAAAAAAAAAAATAAAAAATTGATTTCAATTTAGTTTGATTACGTAATACGCGTATGTTTGTAATTTATTTTAATTCAAATACAACATATCTCAATACATACGTAAGCAAATTAAAATAAAGGATTCTTAGAGAAATTATACAAAGAAAAGAAAAGAAAAAGTAAATAAAAATAAATCAAATAAAATAAAAAATAAATTTAGTTCCGGAAAAGCGCTTAACATGGGAAGGGTGACTCTTGCTCTTCTGCGCATTAGTGTTAGTAGTAATAGTAGTAGCAAAAAGTAATTTCAAGAAAGTTTGAGTTTGAAAGTTTTTTTTTTTCTACGAAAAAATGCATTTCATGACTTGTTTTTTTTGTTTTGAAGAGAACTCAAGCTTCTTATTTCCAGACATAAGAAAGAAACAAAAAAAAAAAAAAAAAAAAACAGAAAAAGCAAAAAGAAAGAATTTTTTAATAATTCCACGGATTGAATTGTTTGTGTAATTAATTTGCCCTCTTCCAATAATGATGACTGCATTGTGGTTGTGGCAGATAGTTGTTAACAGTCATAACAACAACAGCACTTTCCATAATAGTAGCACACAAACAAATAACAATTTCGTGCACGACTGCCTTTAGCCGCCGTCTATCGTTGTCTTGTGCTGATTGCATTGGCCACTAACTTGTCGAGTCAATGCTGCTCGTATTGCTGTTGTTCTTGTTGTGATTGTTGTTGTTATTGTTGTGTCGATTGATGGCGGTAGCATTACTATTACAGTCGTCGTTGTGATCTGGTGAAAAATTGCCGATATTAACATTGCAATTATTGTTGCCTTTAGCATTTATGTTGATACTGCCATCGCTATTACCACAGATGTTGGATGTTGGATTTGTGCTACCATTATTTTTTGTAGTACTTTCGCTACTGTTAACAGAATTGTTGTTGCTTTTATCACTATTACAGTGTTGAATTGTTGTTGCCGTCGTTGTTGCTGCTATTTTTGTTGCTGCTGCTATTGGTGTTGTTGTTGTTGTTGTCTGCGCATTGTTCGCTAAATTACCGCTTTTGCTACTTGTGCCCACCACCGTTGTTGTGGTTACGCTTTTCGCTATTGTTGCATTGGTGGTGGCAGTAAGAGGTGCAGCTGCAGTAGCTGATGCGCCAATGCCACTATTACTCGTTTGCAGTGTCAGCGCATGCTGTGCTTGAGCCACACACGCGACACACGGACACGGTCCGCCCAGTTTCTTTGCCAAGGCAGAACGCAATTTAAGAGCCGGTCCTAATTTCATGCCCAACGAGTTCACCAGATGATCTTCAGTTAGTAAAGGCAAGCCCGACCCATCAATACATTGATCACGAAAATGCTGCAATGAACAACAAAATGTGTACAGATAACAATATAAAATGCAGCGTAGACTGCAGGAAAATACAATTATGACTTTAATGCAACATCTACTTCGTGTGTACACCGAGCAACTTTTAAGAAATATTATTTTTGCCTTCTTTTCAGTCTTTCGCTAAAGTCTCATTAGAAATCATCGACTAGTTTGTCATATGATAAATGCCATCATTCAAGTTAATGGAAATGAGAAGAAAATTTCTGCAGATGTGTGCGCATACACAAACACATAAACGCATACATACATGTATATATGTATGTTTTTTTTTTTTTTTGTTCCCCCTTTCCAAGAACAGCTGCGTATTAAGTTCTTGCCTGCGTTTGTAACACTTGATTCACATGAAAGTCCAGTCCATCGTTCACCTTTTTCTCAACATATGTGTAGAAAATCAGTATCAGCTGCGCTTAAAATCCCGCCCGAACTAAGCACTACTAATCGACAACTTATATTTGCAAAGTTATCAAGCAAAGCTGAACGGACAGAAGGACAAATTGTCTAAAGGTGGCGAACTCGGTTTAAAGCTTTGTTTTCAAGCTTTGGTAAGGTAACATAGCAATGATGCCAAGTCCATGCGGAACGGGATTAAAAAATGATCTGCATTTGGTCGCTTTTCCGAGAAGGGAACGATTCGGAAATTGTTATCTTTTGCCTTTGGGTTGTTAATTATTAAGTGCCCATTCAGAAAGTGATTCTGAATCGATTGATAATAAGAGATGAGATTATTTCAAGTTCTTATGGGCGTGTACACATTCTCACACGCCACACTTAGTGTAAGAGGCATAATAATAATCATATAAATCGGTCCACATCACATCTAAAAATGTATCTCGCGTCTTACGCTTAAGCAAGTGATTAAAAATTTCAGACATTTTCGCTAAATCCCGATCGGGATATTCTTTAAAGGATAATTTCAAATTTTGGACTGAGTCCTTCTAAATTTTGAAGTTTTCGTTCATGTTGAGTTAATTTTTTCAAGTCCTTAACAATTTCTGTCTCTTCCCGCAAGCGCTCCGGAACAGAGAATATGGAACAATTTTTGTAAGCTATGTTCCCATCTACAAATAGATGGGAATCTCCTTAAGAATTCTACTTCAAAAGGGGTCTTATCTGGGCGGGGTACTTTGGAATATAAAAAAGGAATTTTGTTGCCACTAGTTGCGGATACAGAATACAGGTCATCATGGTTTCGAATGACCCCTATGAAGTAGATGCTCTTATGCGACCCCGTTGATACGGTACACTTGATGAAATATGTAAAAAGTTTGTTCAGTTATAATACCAGATCTGGTATCATTTTTAATGTCTTCTCTCTTCTTCATTGCTTTTGTTTTTAACGCAAAAAACTTCCTCTATATGGAAGATACCGAATACAAGCAACTGATGAGTGCCAAGAAATTCGATCTTAACCGGATACGATTTTTTCTTTGATTTTATTCTCTATTTGTCATTAATAGCACTTAACGCATCGCTTTGAGGTGCCATGATCTGTGTGCAGGAATAAAGTTCAAATTTAAGTTTTGAAGGTAAGTTTATTACGAAATACCTATCAGTGTGCTTCAAATATTAATTTGTGAGGAGTACCTTAGCAAAAATGTTAAAATTCCAATATCTAGTCTGTTTCTAGTCTAGAGAAGAAATCAAAACCAACGAGTATAGATTTTTTTATTATTTTATTTTTATTTTTTTTAATAAAAGCCACAAACTATGAAATAATTTTATTCAGTTACCTAAGATTGTTTTAGTTTGTTTTGTTATTTATCCGATCGCGTGCTTTTTAGATTCTAACTAACGTATATATGTACGCTATGCGCACGTACTGTAAAGGCGCATATGCATGCACGAAATGACTCAGAGATGGGTATAAATGTGAATGCTAAATATGTATTTACTCGTAAAGAGGAAACCCATTAGTGATTCTTGGCTTATGTGCATAAATTTCTTATAAGGTAAAATAATGTATGTAACTTGCACATACTAACATACGCAGATTAAAAAAAAAAAAAAAAAAAAATAATCGTCGTTTATATTCTATTACTATTGTTGGTTACTGTGCGTTATTTTCGGCAATTCCTTGCATCATTTACTACTTGCACGTGTTGCGTTGCCGGGCTTCATTATATTCAATATTTTGCAATAATTGACAGAATTGATTGCAAGTCTATTCGGATATTCAAAGAGAGAAGACAATAGATTCTGGATAATAACGATAGACTGACTATCTACAAAGTAATACATTTAGAGCGGAGTTAGGCCAGAGGTAGCATTGCATTTTCATAACACTGTCTATATATGGTTGATAGCAGTTAGATAATGATAATCTATTTCTGGTCTGCTATTTACATATAGCGAATAGTGTGACAATATGTTTTCATCACATTCGACAATTCTCTCAATGAGTGAGAATTCGTGTGACGAGGGATTGAATGTAAACGAAAGTGTTAACAAATACCCGTTTACATACACGTTGATCCGAATCTAATAAAATTCTTATTTTACTGGAGAATTTTGAGAAATGTCAACGAGTGGGAAAATATGTACGGTTTGGATTGATTTTTTTTTTTTGTAATTTCAACTGACATAAAAGTGAACAAGTCGTCATTGGATTATATTAATTATTTCGCATTTTGTTTTTTTAAATCTACAAATGAATGACATTTGATAGAATGAAAGTTCAATAATATTTAAAGGATAGATAAAATAATGTGAACAATGGACAAGCAGACGTGTACTTATTTATTAATAATGTGTTGGACTGCAATTCTTCTCACAATAGATTCGTAGAGAGCCTGAATACTTGCCAAAGGAATGTCGCCCCATTGTTGTGTCAAAGCATCAGTCAGTTGCTTCAATGATCTTGGAGATGCAAATCCGTTCGTCTCTACCTGCTCTAAAACTTTCCATAGCGGTTCTATTATGTTGAGTTCTGACGACTGCGCTAACGAGGAAAGATGTTTAATGATGATGTTTGTGATGCTCCTCAAATAAAGACTGATCCTTTGTCATGTGTATATAGGCGCATTATCCACTTGGAATATGCCACTTTTGAGCAGAACTTCATCATTGCGGAAATCTCAAAATTCATTCGCAGAAATGTGTGGCCAGTGATGTGAATGACAGCATAAGCTGAATACCGCCGTAAAGCAGTCCAAATCGCTACGAAACCTCCCTGATGCTTAAGTGTAGTAAGCAGGCAGACGGGATCGTAGGCTTGTTTTGGGTTTTTCCGTACGGCACTGTTCCTGGCACACCTTAGCGTTGGCTTCTATTGTAACCGGTTTCGCCATTGTAACGCTTTCATTAATGTTTTCTTTTGTGGTAGTTTTATGTTGTCTGATCACAATCCTTTTTAATGTTCACCGGTCCCTCTCAATTCACTTTGGGTTTCGCATACTATTCCTCTTCGTCGATGAGGAGGAGCTCTATACCGAGCTTTAACCGTCCTAGAACAAAACGTATAATACATCGAAATATAACGTACGCGTCGCATTATTTACCCGGAAGCAGTGTTACCAACATGCCACAAAATGGCAGGGGTCTCTCTGTTTGGCTACACATCGTTTTGATTTTGAGTAATCGTTACTGTTAGCTTGAGCCCCCAAAGAGAGCGATTTTCTTTCTTACTTTACAGTGTTGAGCGGAGCTTTCAAATTGCTTCAATGGCCTCACTCGCAATCGATTCATTATATACATATGTAATCGTCTATACGTCTCATCCGGCAGTCGAAAGTGATCTCTGTTTTGCTTAATTTATCCTAACTTCGCGTTGTCACAGTCGTCAACTCGAGCCTTCAAAGGAAGTTAGTTTCTTTAAAATTGAAAGTGACGGTTTGGTTCTGTGTTTGTTATTATATATGATCAGATATTGAATGACAAACGCGGATGCCTCTGCTTCCGTGACTAAGGGATATAACCTATACCATTGCGCACGATGGTGGTCTGGAAGGATTATATGTTTGGAGACAGGAAAGGGCGTTTGTGTAGTTCAACTTGAAATTGAAGATATCTGGTAGAGTTAGAAAGACTACTGCATGAAGGTTATTCAAAAGGCGGACAGTGCTGCTGAAGAATGCCGCGGTAGTGTGCCGTGGGTATACCTCCAGGATGGGTGGCTCGGAATGCGGAAAAAGCTGCGTAGCACACTTTTCAGGACATGGTTGGTGGGCACCAACCTCCTCCAAGGTTACCTCTTTGAAATGTTTTCCTTACTTGAATCTTTTGAAATAAAAGTTAACAACAGCTTGTGCGTTCAATATGCGTGATCCTCTTCTCATCCTGGAATAGAGTAGACTTAATTTTTTTGAACATTATCTTGTTAGACTGGACTTCCTTGGGCGGACGAGAAGTGAGCTGCTATTCAAAAACTGGATTTCAGATATGTAACAGTTCGTGGTAGATTCCACCTTCGTGGGCTTGTAGTATATCTTTGCGATTCTTTCTCTTCAGGGGTCAAGTTGAGCAACCAGTCGCTTGTCTAGTTTAAATTTTTCCGGTGGCGATGCTTACCACACATTTGTCGTCCAAACCATGCATATATATATTTTATGCAGTCCCCAATGTGTATTTAGATGCTGGTAAATTATTCCTTAGCCCACATTTGGCTATCCACACTTCTGTAGCACTTTATTCTCCCTTCATAACCGTCAAGAAGTATAAAGTCTCGACGCTAGTTACCTTATAGGATATACATAATAAAGTGAAAACTCTTTTGATAAGAGAATATCTGTCTCTTGCTTTATTTCTTTCTTTGAGGTCATGTCCGTTTAATAATGGAAGAATGTGAACAAAGTTTGCCAACTATCCAAACTTTGTACTTTTAATTCTGTCAGGGCAATTGTACGTGAGCGAATGCTTCTAATCGGTGCTTACAATCGTTCTCGATTAGGCGAATAATGAAATGCTCTCACTTCCATCGTAGCAAAGAGTGTCTCACCTACACAAGTAAGTAAGGTTTCAGAACGTACTTA